CGGCTAATTTTTTCGTATTTTTAGAAGAGGCGGTGTTTCACCATTTTGGCCATGCTGGTCTTGAATTCCTGACCTCAGGTGATCTGCCTGCTTCAGCCTCACAGCATGCTGGGATTACAGACACGAGCCACCATGCCCGGTCCCACCAATTATTGTTAAATATATATTGTTATATATTTAAACATCACATGATCTATATATTTGTTTTGTGGTAAAACTCCAAGCAAAGCTGCAGCTTAGACCCTTGGCCATAGGGCATCTCCGTTCCCTGTCACGTCCTCCACCCTCCTTCCAGCCTCACTGGGGAGCCGCTACTGTCAGTTCTGTGCCAGGTGTCAGAGCAAGTCTCATACAGACGTATTTGTGCATCGTTATGAGGCTTTAGAAAAAATTCTGTAGTAACTTAAAAAAAGTTCTTTCCTTTTTCTTTTTTTTTTGAGACAGAGTCTCACTCTGTCGTTTAGGCTGCAGTGAAGTGGCGTGATCTCAGCTCACTGCAACTTCTGCCTCCTGGGTTCAAGCACTTTCCTGCCTCAGCCTCTTGAGTAGCTGAGATTATAGACAGCCAACACCATGTCTGGCTATTTTTTGTATTTTTAATAGAGAAGGGGTTTCATTATCTTGGCCAGGCTGGTCTTGAACTCCTGACCTCGTTATTCACCTGCCTCAATCTCTTAAAGTGCTGGGATTACAGGTGTGAGCCACTGCACCTGGCCCATAATAGTTATTTTTTCTGCTCCTCACCTTCCTCCCGGTCTCTACCCTCAAGTAGACCCCAGTATCTGTTGTTTTCTTCTTTGTGTTCCAGTAAATATTTTACTTTGATATTTGATCCTGCTAGTTGTGAATTTCCCTGTTGTCATGTTAGTAAACATGGCTAGCTTGCTCTTTGCCATCTGCGTTGGAAAATGGACTGAATGACAACATGTGGGTCCTTTGCGATTTTTCCGTGTGTAAAGAGTGCCGTAGTGGCTGCCTCTGTGCACGCCTGCATTTCTACACATATCTGAACATTCCTCAGGTCAGGCAGTTGAAAGGGTGATTGCTTCCACTAGGATGGGGCATTTCCTGTTTTCTTAGATCCCACAAGATCCCCCCTGCCCGCAACTGCCAAAGTACCATTTTCCAGCAAGATGAGATTCCTCTTCAGTTAAACAAAACTTGCTACTTTTCGTATTTTTAAAAACTTTATATATGTACATACACATTCCCACAAACATGCACACACATATACATACAAATACATGTATACACACATATGCATATATTTCAAAAATCTTTTATATTTTGAAAATCTGGGACAAATGATAACCTTTTGTATTAACATCTAGTTTTTTGTGAATCTCTGTAGGCTTTATTATTTTATATGAACATATATATACACGATTGATTTTTGTACTTTGAGTAATTTTGTTTTCACGTACTTTATTTTATTTTGAGATGGGGTCTCGCTTTGTTGCCCAGGTGTGAGTGCCCTGGCGGGACCGTAGCTCACTGCAACCTCCACCCTCAGGGTCAAGCCACCCTCCCTCCTTAGCCTTCCAAGTAGCTGGGACCACAGGTGCCTCCCACCATGCCCAGCTAATTTTTTTTTTTTTATTTTATTTTTTTGAGATGGAGTTTCTGTTTCCTGGGCTGGAGTGCAGTGACGCGATCTGAGATCATTGTAACCTCTGCCCCCCCGGATCAAGCAATTCTCCTGCCTCAGCCTCCTGCGTAGCTGGGATTACAGGC